GTACAGTTTTTTTTGCATTTTTTAAATGTTAATTATGTTTTTTTTCTGATAATTATCTTCACAGTACCACAATCTATGTTATTTTATCGTAAATGTTTCCTTTCATGTAGTTGTTTTACTGCAGGCTTAAACTTTTAATCTTGATTTTCACAAAACTAACAAAATGTAACTTATCTGGTTTTGGCAGTAAACCGACGAGGGAGTATGTGCATATTGCTTGGTTTTTATCATCTGCTTTTAATTTTTAAAAGCTTTTAGTATCGCATAAAGTTCTCCAGGGTATACGCTGCATAAATTCGGTAAAAAAGATGATTTGATTATTTCATCATATTTGGTAACGGCATATCCAACGCCTGCTTCGCTTTTGGAGGCATCTGTATACAGAATTTTTTGGAATTGGTTCTTGCTTATAATTTATTTGAAGTGTTGCCTTATGAGAAGACGAGGTGGTTTTATGTTTACTGTATTGAGGTATAGAGAAGTAATTGAATGTGGGATTGGTCTATTCCAAGGCGGAGTATCCGGGATTGGGAAGGGATGTGTTTTATAGTTTATTTTTATGAACGAGAGAGTAATTAGCATAATTTTAATTGGTACCTCCGACCACTCCATGGGCGTGCTCAAGATTAATTGAAAAATTACTTTGAATAATTGTAAAAAATAAATGAATTATTTCAGTGTTATAAAGTGTTATGTGTATGTAAACAAAAGTGACCTCTTTTATCACACACTATATTAGAACTGACTGGCCTACATTAAAAAGGGTTTTAAAAAATTCACATTTTTTTTAATTTTTAAAAATTACAAAAGAGAAAAAGAGTTTTTAAAACCGTCTAAGGTATGTTAAATAGATGAATGAAAATATTAATATAAAACTTACAGCTACTTGTTACAAATCCAAATCAGATTCAGAAGATGAACTTTCAGAACCAAGATTTATAATAACTAGCTCGATCATTTTATCAGTAATATTGTCCAGCTTCCACATTTTTTCCTCTTCTTTAATAGTGTGATTTACTGCCTTTTCCCAGTTTTCAGGTTTTACATTATTTACGGCCTCCAAAAACAACTGTTTAACATCATGAATTTTAAAAGTGGTATTTTTTCTTGAAACTTCACTCTTTATCTGTGCCCATACCAGTTCAATCGGGTTTAATTCACAATGATATGGTGGGGATCGAAGTACTGTCATTCCACGATTTTTGGCAATTTCATCAATTTCGTATTTTTTAAATTTTTCTTTATGAAGGGCACACAACGAATAAAGTTCCTTTCTTATAGATCCGGTATGGTACGTAATATTTTTTGAACTCAGCCAATTCTGCAAGTCTTTTTTTTAACCACTTGGTTGTGAGCAGTCCTTCTATAAGTCTGGAGTGATAACTTGCATTATCCATTACTATTACACAGTTCTTAGAAAGAAGATCTATCATTTGTTCGAACCATTCTTGAAAGACATCAGCGTTCATGTCTTCATGGTAGTCACCGGTACGAGTTGATTCAAAAGTTAATAAACCACCTTCAACAAAACCGTCTGAACTGCCAATGTGTACTATTATCAGCCTGCGTCCCTTTCCTGATGGTGGGTTTAAACCAGTAGATAAGTTATTTACAAAAGCGTGCCTTTGACTTGTAACAGTTTCATCATGCCAAAATTTATTTGGTGTATGACCCTCGTTGATCCATGTTTCATCAAGATAAAATATTTTTCTTTTTTGGTTTCTCATTTCCTTTATGGTTCTTAGAAAATGTCTTCTCCATATGACAATATCGCTTCTTTCTAATAAAATAGACTTTCTGGGATTCTTTTTCCAGCGGAAGCCTATTTCTTTTAAAAGTTTCCATAACGTACTTCGACTCATTTCTGGGTAATCCTTATCATCTCGAACTGAGACAAGAACTTTATCCAATGTTGGAAATTCTTGTCTAAAGAAGAATTCATGCACTTTCCGTCGAAGTCCTTCTTTAAAATGATATTCTATTTGAAATTTTGGTTTCCCTGGAGCATTACGTGGCATTTGAAAACTACCACATTTATCTTCTTTAATAACTCTGTAAATCGTAGATTTCCCAACACCAAGTGTACTGCTAACTAACTCAACGGTCTCATCAACACTTTCACATAAACGTTTGTCTGTAAATGATTTAAAACAATTAAATATGAATGTTTTTTCATTAACTGTTAAAGGACCAATTTTTCGGCGTTTACACGGCACTTCCAAATTTTCCATAACACTAGTATACACAATAAACTGCACCTTGCAACTGAAGTACCAACTTTTAGTGAACTGTTAAGAATTTTGAATACGCCACTTGGACCTTCCTACAAAATGGAAAAACCCACTATCACATTTTCTGTGGAATAAGTTTAGAAGGTAATTATCTAGTCAATTACTGTCGTAGATTCCTGGAATTAAAGAATTAAATGTTTGATTGTTGAAACCCTTACTTCGTGGAATGCACTCATTTCAGATAAAATAAAAAGTTTTATTTTATCTAAAGAATTAAATTTTATTTTGCAAATAGGTAGGTACTTATTAAACTTTTATTGGTTATATATATAACCAATAAAATAAACATCTTACATTTCTTGCAAATTCATTAGTACCTGTTAACCTCCATCACTCCGACACTGGCAACCTTATTTAGGGATTAGTAACCCTCACAACTATTGTATTCTATTCTGCTCCAACCTTTATACCTGGTGGTCATACTCAATTTAAAATTGTTTTCCTATATACTTCTGTAAACTTGTTGACAAATATCTGTTTTTCATTGAGTCACCCGTATCAACAGTTTAGGGATTTGCATACATAATTTATTGTTTTATTACTCTCTCATACATAAAAATACACTATAGTAAGGTCGATGGTTTTTCTTAGAGTTAATTTCTAGATCCTTTAAACTGTGTTTTAATACACCTGCAGTGGTTGCCGCTTTTAATTTAATTCATGAATATATATTTACATATATTTTGATCTTTGTTCATAGTGAAAATTATGGTTCGCTGTACCGAAAAACAAAACAAGTTGAAAAAAGCAGTATTGCAACCGCTAAATACATTATTTTGTACGAACCCTGAATTTCTCTGTCATCGCGGTATTTAACCACTCTCGAATAAAAAACAATCAGATCAAAGCACCTGATTGATGCAGCCAGCCATTATTCAAGCGAATTTCCTTGAATCCAATATAGACAAAAACCTAAAAATAAAGCACTGTTTAGTGTAAAGGTGCGAATTAGCGATGCCGGTCGTCGCGACGCACTCTAGTAGCGTCATTTATAATCAGTTTTCCACGGCCACCTGAATATCTCTATCTCAGAGTAAAGTTTTCGGTTCCACTACGTTAGTAAGTTAGTAGACTGAATCGTGTCGGCTTTTTTGAAGATCAAAGGAGCGCGTGGTGCAAAAAGTGCGTGCAGTGTCACAATGTGTTTTGTGAAATAAAAACTCGCGCTAACTGGATAATTCTTGGTGATTTTTGTGACAAAATATGTCAGTTGTAGTTTTAGTTATATCAAAAAGAAGCTTTTATTGAAAGATAATTGTTTATTGTGGAGCCATTTTACTTCGTGCTTACTATATTTTCCCATTATATACACACCGGTTTTTTTATCCATTGGAACATTTATCTTTTGCAAATAATTTAGAATAATTACAGTCACACAGTATTTGATTTAAAAACTTTGTCGGTACCGAACTACTAAGATTATAAAGTATTAGAACTGTGGACGTTTTGGCTTTCGAATATATTATCTCTTTCGCAAAATGTTAGCTAAGCTCTTAATATTATATCTAGTTACACAAGCGTTCAAAGTGTTGAATATTGTATAATAAATGTATAATATCTATTATACCATACGGTCCATATATAGAATAAATTCATTTTTAGCGTTATTATGTACTATGTGAAAAAACCTGGAATAAGTCAATTTTTATTCTTAAATTGACAATTTTCAGTATGAAAATATTATTCCTCCTCCAGCACCCCCTTTGAATTATAAGCACCCCATCGAAAAATAAAAAGTAGGCACCTTGTTAGAAAGGGATTTTAGTCCTCTGTTCAGCAATATACAGTTTTTTGAGTTCGTGCAATCATAACACTGAGAAAATTTATTTTTTCAATTAAATTAAATGTTCAACTTGGCCATCATTATTTACTTCTTGACGATAACCGAGGCGATTTTGAAATTCTCGTACAACATTTTGTATGACCTCGGGGGTTATTTTGTTAATTTCTTCCGTTATCCTAACTTTTAAATCAGCAATATGGCCTGGTCTAGTAAAATATACTTTAGAAATAGTCAGGTATTTCCGTATCTGTTCTGCTAAACATTAGGAAAAAAACTTTGAAGATAAGAAAATATTAGTCAAAAAGCCAAATAAATAATTGATATAAACCTAGTATGCTGCTGTTATTTAGGTACTTAAAGTTACTAAAAGACGTCGATATAATATTTGTTTGCGTATTAAATTTAATTATGGCTCATTTATCCGAGACAAGAAAAGACATTTTAAATATAATTGGTTGTGGTAATAAAACAAGAACTCAAAAGGAGGTTTGTGAAATTTTAATAATATATATCCTGGTCAACAAGTTTTACAGTCTACAGTTAGCAAAATTGAAAAGAAGCTTCGTTATAGTGGACATGTAAAAAATATTGAAAAACCAGGTAGAAATGTTAAATTTACTGATGAAAAAAGTTAGATGCAGGGTAAGGAAAGGTATATTGGTGATAAAAATGGAAAATACTAATAATATAGGAATTCGAAAGCTAAGCAAGAAATAAGTTTTGCTTTATTACGTTACTTATTATTTCAAGTAAATGTTTAGCAGAGTTAATTTAACAAAAAATGATTAATCATGATAGTAAATGTCAAATTGACATACAAACTTATGTTAGGTAAGTTGGTGACACGGTAAGGTATATTGGTGATAGTGGTTAGAAAATTTGGTGATATTATGGAAATTGTATATTTAATCAGATATTTAAAAATTTTATTCCATACAACGATCACATCTATAATAAAGTTTTTCATCGGCGTCAGTATCTTCGATAGATATGCAAATCTCGTGGTATGGTGTCAAACAAGATGAGCACTGAATCCATTGGGCTCCATTTCTTTTCTTAACATCAGTTGAATACAGGACTCCACATAAGCCACACTCCCAATCATCTATTTCACTTTTCTTTGCTTTTTGGACAGATTTGTATGAAGTCGAGGGCTGTTGCTGAAGATTTTCTGTTACTGAAGTGTTTTCATTTATGGGTGTTAAGCATTTCGCACTTGCGTCCCTTTTTCTTGACCTCTCTGGACGTTTTGAAGTTGTTGGTGTTTTCAAAATATGATCGACTGTGGCTTTAGGATTTAAAATAGAAGTTTCAGGTGCTGGGTCAGTTGAAACTGGAGAAGCAAAAGTTATGTCAGTTAAAGATGAAGGCCGTAATGCTTCTTTTGGAATAACATCTCCGTTTAAATAACATATGCCTGTTTTTTTAAAAGCATTTTCAATGTTTTTCTTTGTAAAGGCGCTTATGTAAGCTGGATTCAAAATGGAATGGAAGTTGCTACGACTTGGAGCATCCGTAGGGTTATTGCTCATATAACGATTCGTGCTATCGCGCTAAGTGGCTTGAATAGTCCCACGTCAAGTGGTTGCAATAGATGAGTGCAATCAGCTGGGAAAGTAAATAGGTAAACTTGATTATCTTTCGCTATTTTCAAAACTTCAGCTCCAATGTGGGCAGAATGAGAGTCCATCAACAAGACTACAGGACGTTCAGGCGGTATCGTAGTGAAAAAATTTAACCATTCCAAAAACAATTCAGAATTGATCCATCCTTTAGGAGATAATTTTATTAATGCGTTGGGAAGGGCATCATTTTTAAGTGTATCATTCCATCTAACACCTTTAAAGATTATCATAGGAGGAATCAATGTTCCATTAGCACAAATGCATGCTAACATAGTTTGAGTTTGACCTCGTTCAGCGTAGGATCTTTTATAAACATACTTTTTACCAATGCCAGTAACAACTTTGGAAGGTTTCACTACATACGATAATCCAGTCTCATCGCAATTTCAAATTAAGTTCGGTTTGTTTTTTATATTGAGTTTCGTAAGAACATCATTCAGTTTCGAAAAGAAATCTTTGATCATAATTTCATTAGCCATGGAAGCTCTGTAGGCCGAAAGATTTTCTGGGACACGAAGGCACAAGTTGTACCTACTTTTAAAACTATTCCACCACCATTTGCTTGCAATGCAGTTAGTTTGGCGGCAAGAATTTCTCCCGACCATCAACTTTAGCAAGATCATAAGCATATTTTTTAATTTGATATATGGTTAGTCCAAAACCCAATTCTTGCGTTTCTATAATATAATTGTAAAGCCTCAACTCTAACTCACATGACAATGCAAAAGGCCTCCCAGTTTTCTTACCGACTCCTCGTCATTCGCCAGGTAACGTTTCAAAGTGCTTCATGGGACTTCTACTTCCTTTGCAGCTTTATATATAGTCTTACCTTCATTTCTTACTAATCTGACAGCGTTTTGAAGTTGCTGTTGATTATATTGTCTATATTGACCCTCTTTTTCCATTGCCAATCTAAAAGTAAAAATTAAATAGGTTATTTGGTGATAAAAAAAGTTAACAGCATTTATAAAAAAAGCTTAAGTTAAAAGCTTCGTTATACTGGACACGTAAAAAATATTGAAAAACCAGGTAGAAATGTTAAATTTACTGATGAAAAAAGTTAGATGTAGGTACTTTTAGAGATTGGGGAAAATCCGCATAAGACAACTCGAGAACTTATCGCCGTCAATGATGTAAGTAAATCTTCTATTTTGAGAGTTTTGCATAAAGAAAAATACCACCCTTACAAAATTCAGTTGGTTCAGGAGTTAAATGAAGATGATCCTGATTGAAGGCAAAAATTCTGTGAAATGATGATAGACAGAATGAACGCAGATTTGCATTTCATAATTAAAATAGTTTTTTATGAAGTGACGTTTCATTTAAACGTAGCGGTTAACAAACAGAACTACAAATATTGGAGCAGATAAAATCTTCACTGGATCTTCACTCACACGCAATATACTAAAAAAGTTAACGTTTGGGCTGGTATCATTAACAATAAACTTATTGGTTCATCTAGATTTTTTGATTAACTTTTTAGTGCCCACATTTCGAAGATTTTTTCCTGATGTTAACCATCCAACTGAGATTGATCTATTTACTACCAACAAGACGGAACTCCATCGCATTTTGTACATATAGTTAGAAATTATTTAAACATAGTTTTTCCCAATAGGTGGATTTTAAGACGTTAAACGGTCGAATGGTCGGCTAGATCCCCGATTTGATTCCTCTTGATTACTTCTTATAGTTTATTTAAAATCTTAAGTATATTTTGATAGACCAACCAGTATAGCTGATTTAAAAGTTAGAATAATGGAAGAAATTAACAAAATATCCCGCGAGGTCCCAAAGGAATCCCAAAATCGCCTCGGCTATTGTCAAGAAGTGGATGGTGGTCATTTTGAACATTTAATTTAATAGTAAAGTACATTGAAAACTACATTCTAAATATTATGTGACATTAATATCTTCATTCAACCTAATGTTTTGTGATAGAGACATTATCAAAATTTTACATCTTAAAAGTAAATTTTCTTAGTTATGATTGCACCAAACTCAAAAACTTTATATTGCTGAACAGAGCACTAAAATCACTTTCTAACAAGGTGCCATACGACCCCCTCTGTTTTTTTCTCCCTCTGAAAATTTTCGAGGAGGTGCTTATAATTCAAATGGGGCGGTAGAGGGGAATAATGTTTTTATACTGTAAATTGTCAATTTAAGAATAAAAATCGAATCGAATGTTTCAGGTTTTTTTAATATAGTACATAATAACGCTAAAAATGAATTTATTCCATACGTATAGACCGCATGGTATATTGTTATCGTTGTTTCCTTTGAGATATTCATTTTTCTGTAGATTCTCGTTATCTCCGTGTTATTGAGCCCTAGGTGACTTGATATGCTTTAGTATCTCCCAAAAATATTCGTACACATCAGGACGTTGCGAGGAGTATAGCTTTCTGCATGACTTTATGGAGATGTTCATTTAGACCCAACTGTTTTATGTTTTCTAGGGGGTTTTTGGGAATAACACCAGTAGTAGATAGAATAATAGGTACTTTCCATTCTTCATTGTCTCATGATTTGTAAATCTAGATTTCCAGAGTTAGCCATACAACTCACACTCTCCCTAAGTAAAAAATTCACTCATCTCCGATACCTACGGTACCAAAAGGATTGAGCTCTGTTGGGACTCTTTCCATGCTATCGAGCCCTAGGTGACTTGGTATGTTGGAGTATATCCAAAAAAATTTCGTACACATCTGGACGTCGTGACTAGTATATATTTCTGAATTATATTATAGAGATGTTTTTACACCTTTCTGTTTTATGTTCTCTAGGCCCTGAATAATCTGGTATTCTGGAGTATCCCTTAAAAATTGTCTTACACATCTACACTCACGAGCAGTAGGTACAACTTTTTGCATAATCTTATAATGAATTTTACTTTTCACCAAGATACAACTATTTGATGTTTTTTAGGAGGCTTTTAGGAATGACACTAGTAGTAGAAACATAATAGGTAACGTTTGGGTACTTTCCATTGACCATCTTATGTGCATATCAAGATCTCTGATACTTTTTGCGAGACTTTCGTTGTATTTCATACGCAAATTATTATTGTTATATATCGCCACAGCAATATCTCTTGTTTGTCTAGTAAGTTTGTTGTAGTATCAATTTGTTTTGAAGTTTTTTAAGAACTATCCTTCCTACTGAGTTGTACTGTTCCAAATATTTAGTCGCAGCAACTGCATGGCTGTAGGATAATATCTTGGATGTTTCTTTAGCTCAACACCAATATCTTTATTTGTCGTGTTTTGTACCTTTGCAAGGATTTTTGAAGATATATTTCAAGTAATTTTTTATTTAAAGAACCTGATCCTGAATAGTAATATCCACATTTACTATTTTTCCCATATATCGTAGTAATTTGTTCTTTCTTTTGCTCTGCGACGATGATGCTTTTTTGCATTTTTAAGAAGTGTTCCACTTTTCGCTAAAAATTTGATGTTTTAGTTCTTGGGTTTTTTTTTATTTTATGAAAATATGTCAACGAGACTTCTACTTTATTTATCTACCTCGGCCTCCCATATAATTTTTTATTACATGCCTTTTTTCTAACCTTTTTATTTTCCTCTAACTATCTATGCTCTAATTTTTCTATTTATATTTTATTTATCAATGAATGAGTGACATCAAGTGATAAGTTCCTCTCTCTTGCCATACTAGTTTTCATCGACCTCATGAATTCGTTTATTTCAATTTAAATCACCGGTCCATTTTTGATTTTACACTGCTACTCAAGATGTCTTTATTTAAAAAAGCTATTAATATAAAAAATATCAGGGCTTGAGTAATCTGTTTGAACGCCTAAATAATAATTAAACACAATGTTCATTTTAGATACCGTTTATTATGGCGAATGTCAATAACGTTATCGAATAACGAATCTTAATAACAATATTTCTTCTTCTTCTTCTTTCTTCATTTGTGTATATAGGCTTTAAAGCTTGTTTCTTCTTTAATATTAGCCTCCTAAATTGTTTAAATTATCGCACCATCTTTTTCTTGGTCTGCCAACACTTCTTCGTCCATTTGTTGACTTGCTATTACATGCTATTCGTATTATCCTATCCCCTGCCATTCTACTAATGTGTTCGTCCCTATCCGGTTTCCGTTTTGTCGCCCATTCATTTATGTCTTCTATATTGCATGCTCTTCTTATGGTCTGTTGGCCCTATCCAACAGACTTTTTCCTAATATTCGTCGGAGTATTTTCATCTCTGTTCTTTCTAGTAGTCGTCGATTCTCGTTTCTCTTTACATTTCTCTTTTATTTCTTTTTTGAACCATGGTGTATTGTTGTTGTTTCTTTTGTTCAGTATGACTTTTTGTTTTCCTAGAGCTTCTGTTGCTGCTTCTTCAATGTTGTTTTTAATTTTCTCTCAGCTCGCGTGTATATCTTCGATCTTCTATTTGTTTTAGCTGTTTCAATACCGTTATTTAAAAAATTATATGTTTGATGCATATTTTATATATTTTGGGGACTCTACGTCACCGGCTACGTTTGCAATACAGATCGTCACCGGTTACGGGTTAAGTTTTATACTGAAACCTACTTGTTTTTTGAAGCTCCGTTAAATACTTCCCACGTCATTTTAATTTCATATATATTACTTCTGATTACGACGATGCCATTAGCAAATTTTAAATGATTTACTAATGGCATCGTACTGATAATTTCCCAAGAGCTTTAGCATACTTGTCACCTTATTATATGTGACGCCAGAGAATATTTCTATCCATTTGAATTAAAATCATGTGTAGCTTTGTACCAGATTTATTTATAATTTACTAAAAATAAACAATAAATATAAAATATCCGAACACTCAAATTTGGATTGTTTCCATAATTATTATTATCGTATTCATAATCTACATTAATTCTATTTTCCTATTATTTTGTTCCTGTAAAACAGTTGGGTAAATGAAACGTGGAAAATTTAGGATTATGAGTTAACACTTCATGTATTACTACGATACGCGAAATTAATTTGGAGTATCTGCAAATGATTAATTTGTGTAGTTGCAGTTATTGCCAACATAAAGATAGCTATGTATAGAATGAAATTTATTAAATAGAATAGAATAGAATATTTATAGAGGCGTATTACGCATTACTTACCATATCTTACTTTGCATTGCAACTAAAAGATTTCTGAAAAAAAGGACTATGTTTTTTCATAACCTACAAAAATGTTTCTTTAATTTTTTTCGTTAGATGCACAGTGTTTTATGTTATTCGCCAAAAACCGCCTGACAAAAGTGTCATTTTTCAATGAAAATGGCAAATTTTCAATCACGGATAACTCAAAAACTATTGAGTTTTCAAATACAATTATAGAACAGTTTTGCCAGGTCTTCTGAAGACTTTAGATTTGGAAGTTACAGCTGGAAACTCAGCAGCAGTAGACAGCAGTTTCCAGCTGTTCTCCGTGTGTAGAGGTTTACTCCCCGGCTCTGGAACTCAATTCAACAATGTATGTTACCTGAAGTCATATTTAATTTAATACTGAACATCACAGTTTTTTAACAAGATGTATAATCTTTTATAACTATATGTAATTTAAAGGGTTTTTACCCATGTATTTTGGTGGCTCAGGCATTTTAACCTAGCGATTTTAAACCTGATGATGGACTGTTTAGTCCGAAAACGTTTGTTTTTTTATGTAGCCCTTTTAAGGGTTTTTAAATAAATATACCAACTTACGAAGACTAACCCGTTGTTCTGTTGTTGTTTTACTTTTTTAAGTTTAAGTTTTATGCCACTGATTAATAAGTTATGATCTGAGGGGACGTTGGCTCCAGGTAGTGTTTTGGTTATTTTGATTGAATTTTGGTACCTTTCGGTAATTGATATATAATCGATCTGATTTCTTATGATCTTCTCTTTAGTATCTGAGGGCGACGTTTAAGTATATAAAGGACGCTTGGGTCGTTTGAAGAATTTATTGGTCACACATAGATGGTTCTCTACGCAGAATTCTACAAAACGGTCTCCCCTGTCATTACTTTGTTTAAATCCAAAATTTCCTACAATGTTTTCTTGTCTACCTTTTCCTACTTTGGCATTGAAGTCCCTCATTATTATTGTAATGTCTTTGTTTTTAAGTTGATTCATTACCTTCTTTATATCATCATAAAAATTCTCTATGTCATCTTCACTACTGTGGGTGCATAAACTCGGACCAGATTTATATCTACTGGTTTTGAGTTTAATTGCATCACGATGACTCTGTCCGAAATGTAACTTACAGATTTAATACAGGAAGAGTTTTCTTAATGTACAATGTATGCGACGCCATTCCGGTGGTTAGTGCCTTCTTCTCCGGAATAGAATACATCGTGGTCGTCTATGCTACAGGTTTTAAATACACTCCGACACTCTGTTTCTGATGCGTCACTGATGATAGCGCCACGCGCACTAGTATCTGCTTCTTCATTCCGTTCTATGCCTATATGAGAAGGTATTCACAGGAAGTGGATTCTTCTGAAATTTCCTTCAGCTTTCATTAATTTGGCCTTGATAATTTTCTCAATGGGGTGTTTAGGGTATACATTTTGCATAGCTTTGACTGCGCTGACAGAGTCAGAAAGGACCAGACAACAAGGGATGTTTTTAAAATTTACTTGCTTGATGGCTTTTAACAAAAATTAGATGTTGGAGCATAGCAAGGCGATGGAAATATCCATTAACATTCCACTTAAATAGAGACTTAAATTTTAATGTTGGCTTAATTGAGATGTGTCACTTTCCGCATCCGATACCTCACTGTCAAGATAATTATAGATTTTTTTCCTTATGGACAGGAATTTACGTTTTATGTGGGGTAAACTTGACTGAGCATAAGGGACAAAGCTGATAGATGTGTGGTATATTCTTAAATTGTGGTTATAGGATCTGTTGATCCCGTGATATTCATTAGGAGCATGTTAAGTTGATCAAAGTTTAGAGGGAAAGGTAGAGAGTGATTTTCTATGAAGTTTTTATCAATAAAGCGCCAGGAGTGGATAGAATTGCTGCTGAGTTTTACAAGTTTCTTCCAGAAAACGGAAAAGTGCTTGTACTTGGGCTTGCCAATAATTTTTTCGACAAACCAGACTTTCCTCAGGGATTTTATAATGCAATAATTTTTCCTCTTTATATAGAAAGGAAACACGGAGAATGCAGAAAGTTACCGAGGTATTAGCTTCTTAAATGCAGTAACCAAACTCATTGCGGCATTGACTTTAACTAGATTTACCTCGTGGGTACAAAATAATAACATTTTAAACGAGTTCCAGGCAGGATATAGAACTGGCTATTCAACTATAGACAACATTTTTAATCTTACAGGTATAGTAAAAATCCAACATGCACGGGGAGTAAAAAATGTTTATACATTTTTTGTGGACTTTAGTGCTGCTTTTGATACAGTTGATCGGCGGGCACTTTTTTACAAGTTGAGTCATTTAGGATTATCTACTAAAATGCTGAATTTGTTAAAAAGTATGTTTGCGAATACAAAATCGGCAGTCTGGTCAAGGGAAGGTCTATCTGACTGGTTTGACTGTAATGTAGGAGTGAGACAGGGATGTCTTTTAAGTCCATTGCTATTTGCGCTTTTCTTAAATGACCTACATGAAGCATTGGGAGGCGGTTTGGAAATAAATGGTTTAATTATAAGACTTTTATTATATGCAGATGATTTGGTTTTAATGGCAATCAATTCGAAGGTGCTACAGCGGATGATTAATGAACTAAAAAAATACTGCAGGATGTGGAATCTAAAAATAAATTTAGATAAATCGAAAATTCTTGTGTTCAGAAGAGGAGGTGGTGTAATCAGGGAATCTTGGAAACTCAATGATCGAGTATTAGAGGTAGTGAATAACTATAATTATTTAGGAATGATATTAACACCCAAGTTGTCGTATAAAGCTCATCTAAAAAAGCGCCAGAGTTTGGCAAAAGTGGCGATTCACACGGCTTGGAGTAGTTTAGTGTCTAAGGCCGAAATACCCTTTTTGGCTAAAGTAACAGTGTATGAGTCAGTGGTAAGATCGATTTTGACTTATGGGTCTCAGGTATGGGGTATTTTTGAATACGATGAGGTGGAAATAGTCAGAAGATTTTATATAAAAAAAATGTTTTCTTGTCCAAGGTATTGTCCTAACTTTATGTTAGATTTGGAGACAGGTATTGCTAGAGTCAGCCTATATACGATGAACTTACATAAAAACTATGTTAAAAAAATACTAGGATATACGAATGATAGGTTGCCAAAATTTCTTTTGAAGGAAATGATGAGAGCAAGGTGTGGCTGGTGGAAAGATTGGATGAGCATGGGAGAAAAATTTGGTATTGAGGTTAGGTGTGAATGGGAATGGAGAGATATCTGGCCTAGTATGATTGAGAATATGATAGAAAAGAAGAAGGAGGAGATACAGCGTCAGGCTGAGAACAGGGCACTCGAATCAAATTTTTGTGGACACTACAAAGAATTGCGGGAAGAAGGAGTAAACATGCATTACCTACTGGAAATGGAAAATTTTGGGGATATTCGATGGCTCTTTAAATTAAGATGTGGGGTTCTATATTTGAATGATCGACCTGGCAGAAATGATGAAAGAAGAGTTTGCTCAATGTGTAACACGAAGGAAAGGGAAGATGTGATACATTTTTTGGGAAAATGTTCGGTGTTGAGACATATTAGGTTAAAGTGGTTGGGTAGATATGAACTTAGTAGAGTGGAAGTAGTTACTATGATGAGACAGGGCAAGGCTGAGTTAGCAGGTTATTGTAGGGAGGCATGGGTGTATAGGTATGAGTTAGTGAGCCTATTTAACTACTAAATCTATTAGCGTGGTGTTATATTAAAATTAGGATTAATAATTTGTTTGCTTATATCTATTATCTTTTTATCTATCTGGTCTATCTTGAATAATATTGTTATTATTATTGTTACTATTATTATTGTTGTATCTGCAGCTTTCACTCCCTCAAAGGGATATTCAATATTTTCAATGGTAATCTATACCTCACTGTTATACATTGTTATTATTGTTGAGTCTAGTGCGAAGTGTTACTTAGTAGGATATATACATTTAGTTTATTACTAACATTTATATGAATATTTACATAATTTATTTTTTATTTATTTTAATGGCCTTGTTAGATAGAATAAGCCTTTGTTTAATTTTTTGTATATTAATTAGGGAATATTTGTTTGCCAACCCTCCTGATGGCATGTGCCAAGGAGAACAAATGTCACTAAAAGTATTGCATTGTATTTTTTTTATATTGAGAAATAAAAGGCATTATTGATTGATTGATTGATTGATTGATTGAAGTTTTTAGCAGGGTCAAGTAAGAGAGAAAATGAGCATTCAGAAGCGCTTGCTGAACTAATTTTGGCTTTTTTTTATTTTGCTTGGATTTTAGGTGGTGGAAAAATGTTCATTCTTTTGAAGATGGGTGTGCTTCAGGTGTAATAATTTAATCAAAGTTACGTTTTGGTTGATTAATTAGAGAGAAGGGTTTATCTCATTGGGTGCTTGCAAGGATATATTTGCTACACTGGATACCGATGCTTCATTGTTTTGGTTTGGGATTAGTTGATTTAGTGGTTCGGACCACTGTGAAGCAATGCGACCTGGCTTTGTGCATCTAAAGCAAACTAAACTGTC